GCTAGATCCAGTGCTGAAGCAGAGTATAGAGCGATGGCTCATGGGGTTGTGGAAATCATGTGGATAAGAAATTTGTTAGGTGAACTGGGTTTCGCAGTGAGCAATCCTATGTCACTCTACTGTGACAATAAAGCTGCCATCAATATTGCTGCTAATCTAGTTCTGCATGATAGGACGAAACACATTGAAGTGGACAAGCATTTCATTAGATAGAAACTTGAAAGTGGTGAAGTGTGTACACCATATATCAGCTCAGAAGAACTTGTAGATATCTTCTCCAAAGGTCTTCATCATGTGCAGTACAAAGATTTGTGTGACAAGTTGGGCATGATTGACATCTATGCTCCAACTTGAGGGGGAGTGTTAAAATAATTTAGTTGCTGATGTTAGGGTCTGTTTGGCTAATTAAAGTGTTTTTTATTTCGTTTTTTCATTCTGTTATGTCTGTTATTGTACTCAGGGGCACAAGGGTCTTTTCCCTTGTTATTTCTGCCGCCCTATATATATCAAAATAAAGGCTGGCGCCGCCAGCACTATTACATTGCAAAACCCTTCTCTCTTCTCTCCTCTCTTTTCTTCTCTGCTTCTCCTCTTCTCTTCTCTTCTCTTCCTCTTATTTCTGACCGGCCATACTGTCAAGAACAACTAGCTCAGTGTTCGTTCTTGCATTTGGGATATGTTGAGGAAATCTGCCTTAGAGGAGAATAAGAAGGATAGAGTGTGAAAGAAGTCGCTTCTAGAGGAAAAGACAGCTGAGATGCTGAATCAAAGAGCTATTCTGAAAAATTTTTAAGTTCTCTATGTGTTGAAAACCTTAATAAGAGTTTGATAATGGGGGTGGCTGAGGTTGAGCCAGATTTGTTAGAGGATTTAGGTTACCAATTACCAAGGCTTCTTCTATATTTGTGTGGGACCTGGTGGTAGAGATGATTGAAAAAAGATTTGGCAATCAAAATTTAGATATCTTTGCATTGGGAAGGTAGACAATTCATATCAAGACTGCTTTGGCAAGTACGATAATTTATTTTCTCTCTCTTGAAGGTCTCGATAGTGATAGTGAAGTACATTGAAGAAATCCTATAAGACTTTTTGTTGGGTGGAGGAGGTGTTGGGAAGAGATTCCATTTTGTAAAAAGGAAATGCATTTATAGGCTTAATAGAAGAGGCGGTTTGGGGTTTGGGAGGAATGGCGATTTGAATTGAGCACAGTATAGGAGGTATATGCTTGGAGGTGCGCCTCTAGGTGAGGCACTCCCAAAATGCATTGAGGCATATGTTAGAGTCATTCATGCCTCTGAAGGATATGCCTCATATGCCTTTGGCATGAGGCATGGTAGAGACGTACACCTTGTGCACCTCATGGACGCCTCAGACAAGAAGACAAAAAGAAAATAAAGGAAATGAAAAGAAAGAGAAGGGAAAGAAAATGAAAGAAAGAAAGAGAAGGAAAAAGAGAAAAGAAAGATAGAAGTGGAAAGGGAAAGGAAGGAAACAAAAGGGGAAAGAAAGTTTGGCTAGGGGCTATGTACTCCATCCCTTCTTCCTCCTCATCCCCCTCCTCTTAAGGAGGCGTAGCCATTTATGTGTTCGGGAGGCTTATGCCATTTATTTTTGAACACCTCACCCCTCCAGGTAGTGCAATGCCTCACGTCACACCTCCACATTTTAAAACATTGTTGGAGATTTAGGTCTTTGGTGTAGGGTGGTGATGATTTAATATGGGGAAGCAATGCTTGAATGGGATTAAAGGGAAGTCTCCTCTTCTCAAGGTTATGTGCTTGGATGTGCATTATGAAATTTCAACAAGTGTTCATGAGGTACACTGAATTTGTGTATGGGTATGGAAGACTTGAGGATGAGGTTTTGGGAGATGACTAGTTTGGGGAAAGGAAAATAATTAGCTCTATCTTGGGCTTTACTAGATGAGCACTAGATTGGTAACAATTAATTAATGTTTTGAATTGCGAAGTTGACAAGTGGTGTGGTGCCCTTTTGATGACCACTTGTGCATAGAGAGATCAAGGAATGCATAAATCTGTTTTGCAGACTTGTTGTAACCCAGACAAAGCCATAAAATGCAGGCTTGAGATGGTGGGAAGAATAATCAGATGGTTCACAATTAGATGCTTCGGATATGCTTTTGTCAGAAATAGAATTGAAGATTCTTAGTTGGGTATATGGTTTAATATGCTGTGACATTTTGGAAATGTCACCCAACATATGTTGATGTCGAGACCCACTGACATAACATTAACTTGAATAAAAAATACCAAATGTTGGTTGATATTTCCCCTATTTCATTAAATATTGGCCATGTCACTCCAAAAAACAAAAAAATAAGATACAATATTTTGACCATATGTCAACAGCTAGAATATTCTTCATGTCAACCAATGTTTTAAAACGTGGAGGCATGACGCGAGGCGTTCTACTACCTAGTGGCGTGAGGCGTAGTTCAGAACACAAGAGGCGTAAGCCTCCCAAATACAAGGAGGCGCATGAGGCGTATGCCTCTAGCACGCTTCATGAAAAAAGCGTAAGAGGTGTCAGCGCCTCTGGCATACGCCTCGGGGTGTTTTGGGAGCACCTTGCTTGGAGGTGCGCCTCCAGGCATATGCCTCCCATGCCTTTTAAAACACTGATGTCAACAAAAGGAAGCGCATGAGGTGTACGCCTCTAGCACACCTCATGAAAAAGTGTAAGAGGTGTCAGCGCCTCTGGCATACGCCTCAGGGTGTTTTGGGAGCACCTTGCCTGGAGGTGCGCCTCCAGGCATATGCCCCCCACGCCTTTTAAAACACTGATGTCAACAAAAAGAGAAGAAGAAAGAAATTAAAAGGAGAAAAAGGAAGACGGTTTTCAGTTTATCTAAGCTTTAAAGGTGAGAGGTGAAACTCTAAAAAACTACAAGCATGTATCAAGTGGCCTCTATCCTCAAGTCATGCTCTGAATACATCTGAGCAGGAAACAAGAGCTGCATGATGCTGGACCTCTGAAAGTCTGAAGAAATCGGCCTCGTATTCATTCAGGTTTGTAAAGTAGCCCTCTTTCTTTCTCACAGTGAATGAGCATGAAAGAAAAAGAGAAAAAATGAAGAGTGAAAGAGGAGATGAGGATTTGACAAGGAGAAATCTTTGTCTTTTTTGTTTCTTGAAGTTTCAGTCGTTCAATGGTCGCAACAGTCTTAGCTGCGTCCTTTGCTCGAGTCTTCTTCTCTTTGATAGATTAAGATTAAGGGTTCAATGAATGGTGAATTCTTAAGCCTTTAAGGTTAAGTTATATAGGGCCTTGTACAATATGTGATATTGTGATCGTCTATGGACCATTGCAAAAAGGCTTTAAAAAGAATCTTTAATACATATATTGTAGTGCATGAAGGTCTATAGTATAATTGTAGACCCTCATTATAAAAGCCAATAAAAAAAGGAACAAATAATAAGAAAATAGCAATTTAAAGTTAATATTTGAGATAAAATATTCATAAAAATGAAAACAAATGGTTAAATTAATTACTTATAAGAATATAAGTAAATGCATAAATAATTTTTTTTTTATAATAATAAAAATATTAAATATTTTATATTTTTTATATGATTTAATTCTAGTTACTTGTTAGAAAAAAAGTTGTATTAATGCTTCTTTTATCATTTCACAGAATAGCATTATAGTATCAATAGATTCTCTTTTGTTGTGTTAATGATGATAAACACCTACTATGTTCTTTATGTTAAAATCTATGATATCCTTCATTCATTTGTGGCTTTTCCCCAAGTCCAGGGTGATTTGGAGTTTTTTTTTTCTTTTGATAAACTATCTGGTGTTTATACCACTTTTATGCATTGCATTTAATATAAAATATAAATTTGTAGTTACTGTTTGCGAAGAAAAACATTGAGTCAATTCTTCGTTAATTTTAGATGCCCATATGCACCACGAAGAAAGGATTCTCTCTTCCCACCAACATGGGTACCATAGCATGACTTGTCTCTCATTTATGACCAAATAGTTTGATTAATTTTGAGGCATGGTTGGTATTGAATGTATCAAAGACTATTTATTTACTTTTGTTTGATGAAAGAAAATTTACTTATAAATGTTATTGAACTCCTGGAGATTTAATAGAAAATAAATGACTTCCTGGTTTATCATCACTTTTTATTTAATTGGAAGCATTTTCTACCTAGTATTAAATATTGCCTTTTGACCTGGTTTGGGAAGATCAGACAGACCAAACAGGTCAAACTCTAAGCTTCTGTAGCATTTTATGTAAATTGACGAGTCATGACACATTTTTGACATCTGAGATTATAAGCAACAACTTGTTTCTGATGCTTACCTTCTTGATCAACTTTCTTATGTGACTTGACTTGTTGGACTAGCCTTAATGAACCAGGATGGTTGGGGGGGGGGGTCAAAGTAAATAGTTTAGTAATCTTTTTAGTTTTATGTGACTTCCTTGGATGGCTAACCCTATAGCTGAGAACATTCAGCGGATAGAGTGGAGTGATCCTTCAGCAGATAGAGTGTAGCTAGAGATGGGCTTGTCAGGAGTATATTGTACTCGATTAATCCTTGTTAGCTATTGTTTCTGTTTAGTGGTTTTCTTTGAATGATCCTGTGCCCTATTCTCTCCCCATCCATCCCCTCCCCCCATAGTGAATTAGAGGAATGTTCTGTTTATTTCATTTTTTGTCTCTAGTACATGTTTTGGTAATTACAGTTTATATTATTTATAAAACCTATTGCTTGATAATGTATGCTGATATTTGTTGAGTACTCTTTGTGTAGGTATTTGAGTTCATTGTTCAGAAACTTTATGCCTTGAGAAAGCCCAAAACAAATATTCAGATCCTTCAACAGAGTGTTCTTCTAAAGTACAAGTGAGTTATGACTGTTTGGATTTTACAAAATGCTTTTTGTCAAATTTGTAGTTTTTTTATTTGTACATTTCATGTGAATTTCCAACAAAACAAGATGAATATGCTTACTGATCTCTTATTTTGCTTTTTTTTATATGATAATGATTTTTCTACATTAATTAACAAGATAAGAAGGAAATTCCTATTTTGTCAAGGTACATGTTATTTTTAGTACTGCTAGAGTCACTAATCTTACTTTTATTAGCAACCTCTATATGTTCTGTATTTAATATTTTCCAAAGATAATTTCTATGATAATAGGAAGGCATGATACCTGAAAAACCTTAACCAATAGGACCCACATGAATTTGTATGAATACCAATTGGATGGTATTGATGGCTATCAGGTTTTTAGGTATGATACCTGTTAGAGTGAGCCGAATAGGAGTAGTTTAGTAATCTCATGTCAGTTAAGTACTTTGCTTATGTGGCTGTTTTATTAGAGTACTCTSCCCYACACTTAAGTGAGGGMAGYTTAGTCTTTGTAAGTGTAATTAGAACCTAATAAACATTAGGGGGTCGACTGAATGTGAGACTAATCAGTTTCGACTAAACCCTCCTGTTCTCTCTTTCTCTTGTCTTCTTCCTCATCTTCTTCTTCCTTCTTCACTGGTTTGGGTTACTGTAGCTGCTCCAAAACAATACCTTTTTAGTATCATATTTGTGCTCTTGTTTAATACAGTTTTCCATCTTTCCTCTACTTCCCCATCTTTTTTATCAAGACTCTTTGATCTTCATCTTTAATGCATCTAACATGATTTAATGAAATAGAAAGGTGCTGAAATAAAAAATCAGTAAAAGAAAAGAATATTTCTTGAAGAAGAAGATAAGAAAGGAGAAAAAGGAAGAGAAGAGATTTGAGAGAGAAAAGAGAGCAGTAATGCTGGCTTCCCTCTTCACTATTATTTATAGTCTGAAATAATAAAGAATACAAAGACAAATATGCCCTTATAGGGTGGTTAACACAAAGCAGCATAAAACAATTAAAATAACTGCTCAAAAAGGACCCAACAAGAGTGTTGTGGTCTCTACTTCCTTTCTAAACAATAAATAATAAAAATCTACCACTATAGACTACACGATTTGTCTAAAACCTCAACACTCCCCCACAAGTTGGGAGTAAATGTCACACATCCCAACTTGCATACATTGTATCAACCTTATTCTTTGCAACCCCTTTGGTGAAGACAATCAGCCAATTGTAGTTTAGAGGAGACATAAGGCAAGCAGACTTCTCCACTTGTCACCCTTTCTCTTATGAATTGCCTATCAATCTCATTGTGTTTAGTCTTGTCATGTTGAATTGGATTGTGGGTAATATTGATTGCAGCTTGGTTGTCACAATATAACATCATGGGTTCCTCAGATTTTATTCCAATCTCACCTAGTAGAGATCTCACCCAAAGTAGTTCTGAAACACCATGAGCCATATAGCTATATTCAGCCTCTGCACTTGATCTAGCCACAATTGATTGTTTTTTACTCTTCCACAAGTTTCCTCCCACAAAGGTATATACCCCTGATGTGGATCTCCTGTCATCTAAGCAACCTACCTAATCTGCATATGTGTAGAACTCCAACTTTAAATTTTCATGGTCTAAGAAAAGAATCCCTCTGCCATGATGCTTCTTTAGGTATGCAAGTATCCTCTCAGTGGCTTCCCAATGCTGAACCCGAGGAGCATGTATATACTGACTCACAACACTAACAACATAGGAGATGTTTGGACGTGTCATACATAAATATAGTAGCCGACCTACCATCCTCTGATATCTTCCCACATCTTTAACCAACTCACCATCCAAAACATTAATTCTATGATTTGGGTCAATAGGAGTATTAGTTGGTTTAGTTCCTAGCTTCCTAGTCTCCTAGATCCTTGATTCCATACTTGGATCTTGCAACCTCAATCCCCAGAAAGTATTTCAGTTCACCTAGGTCCTTGATCTCAAACTTTTGTTGAAGTGATTTCTTGAGTGCATCATTCTCCTTCAGATCATTTCTTGTAACAATTATATCATCTACATATACAATCAATACCGACAAGAGTGCCTCTCTCCTTTTTACTAAGAGAGTATGGTCGGATTGAGTTTGTGTGTACTCAAAACGGATATGTGCTCCTTTGAACCTATCAAACCATGCCCTAAGTGACTGTTTCAAGCCATATAGTGCTTTCTTCAGTCTGCAAACTTTTCCCTCACCAACACTCATAAAAACTAACTAGAATGCCCATATATACCTCATCTTGTAGATCACCATTAAGGAAAGCATTTTTAACATCAAGATGGATAAGAGGCCATGAATAGGTAGTTGCTAGGGACAAGAGACTCTGAACTGAGCTTATCTTAGCAACTGGTGCAAAAGTCTCCAGGTAATCAATACCTTAGGTCTGTGTATACTCTTTTGCACCAACCTTGCCTTGTACCTCTCTATGCTGCCATCAACCTTTACAGTGAACATGCATTTGCATCCGACTGTCTCTTTGTCTGTAGGAAGATCAACTATTTCCCATGTCTAATTTTTAACCAAGGCTTTTATTTCTTCTTGTATAGCTAGTTTCCACTCAGGTTTGGAGAGAGCCTCACTAACATTCCTGGGTATAGACACAGAATCCAAGGAAGAAAGGAAAGCACGGTAGGAGGGTCATAAGGCATTGTAGGAGAGATGGTGTGAAATGCAATGGGTTGTACACTTTCTCTTCCCTTTGTGGAATGCAATGGGAAGATCAAGATCAAAGGGATCAACTGCCACAATAGTGTTAGGTACAAAAACATCATTATCTGGGGAAATAACAAGCTCAGGCTCAAGGGAAATACCTGGAATTGTATAGCCAAACCTAGGATCTTAGATGGACTGATGGAGAGTGGTGCAGGTTCTTCTATCTAAGCATGTGTAGAGTCAACCCTCTTTTGGTGGCGCTGATAGATCTGTGAGGCTGGCCGTAGTGGATCAGGCAGTGGGACTGTAGTTGTTGATGGTGGAATAGGTGGATCAGATGAAGGAACAAATGACACTGGAAGAGGGACGAATTGTTAGTTCTCCCCAAAACACTCCCCCTAAGGGCAACCACTCAAGAAAAAGAAAGTAGACTCAAAAAAGGTAACATCGATAGTAACAAACCTGCTCCCCGACACTGGATCATAATAACAATACCCCTTTTGGTTTTGACCATACCCAAAGAAAACACATTTCTTGGCCTTAGGATCCAATTTCTTGTGATGAGGACCAAAAATGTGAACAAAGGAGACACCCAAAAACTCTCAAAGGTCTATGAAATATCTCCTCGTTTGGAAAAGAAGCAAGTTGAAAGGTGCCTTAAACCCAAAGTGCATGAAGGAATACGGTTAATCAGATACACGACTGTAAGAATTGCATCCCCCTAAAAATGAATAGGAACTGAGGCACACACCATAAGGCTCCTTGCCACCTCCACAATGTCTATTCTTCCTCTTTGCTACATCATTCTGTTGCAGTGTGTATGCATGACTACTTTGATGAATCATACCATGCTCCAAAAAGTATGAGGACAAGTCCTCAAAGTATTCTCTATCATTATCTGATCTGAAGATTTTAATCCTCACTCCAAATTGTGTGAGAACCATCTGATTGAACTAGCACACCAAAATGGGTACTTCATCACGTGATATCTCCAGATATATCCAAGAGTACCTTGTATGATCATCCACAAACAAGAGAAAATAACGGTAACCACGCATGGAAGAAATGTGGTAAGGACCCCATACATCAGTATAAGCAATATCAAAAACAAAGAAACTTCTATTACTACTTTCTTTAAAAGAATGTCTACAATGTTTTCTTAATTGATAGCTTTCACATTCCAAATTAGACAACTGAACAGACTCAAACAACTTTTGAAACGAAAACCTCAATGAAATGAAAGAAAGATGACCTAAACATTTATGCCTGAGCATAAACCTCAATGAAATTGATAAAATTCCTCAATTTTATCAGACCTTTGGGCTTGGCTACTTTCGTTGTTTGGGAGTAGTTGGAGTCTACCAGCAAAAGTTCACATGCTCTTCAACCATTCTACCTTTTATTGGCCTACAA